TCTGTCCTTCTGTCTGTCTGTAAACAATTTTTCAAAATGCTACTCCTCCTACAGTTTTGGTCTGATTTCAATATAACTTGGCACACAAGTAGATTACATGAAGATACATAATTCCCTTCATCGTTTTTTAATTTTGGTAAATGTTGTTGCCATGGTAACTAAAAATAGAATTTCTGTGAAATTCCTTTAAATGCTACTCCTCCTTCAGTTTTGGTCTGATTTCAATATAACTTGGCACACAAGTAGACTACACTAAGATACATTATTCTGTCTATTGGTTTTTGATTTTGATTAAAAGGTCTTGCCGTGGTAACAAAAAATAGATATTTCTGTGAAATTCCTTTAAAATGCTACTCCTCCTACAGTTTTGGTCTGATTTCAATATAACTTGGCACACAAGTAGATTACATTAAGATACATAATTCTATATATTGATTTTTGGTTTCGATAAAATGTGTTGCCATGGTAGCTAAAATAGACATATCCGTGAAATTTTTACATAATGCTACTCCTCCTAAAGTTTTGGTCTGATTTCAATATAACTTGGCACACAAGTAGACTACACTAAGATGTACATAATTCTACATATCAGTTTTTGATTTCGTTTTTTGCCATGGTCACTAAAAATAGAAATTTTTGTAAAATTGTTTCAAATTGCTACTCCTCCTAAAGGTTTGGTCTGATAACTTGGCACACAAGTAGACTGCACTAAGATACATGTACATAATTCTATAGGCTTTGATTTCAATGAATGGTGTTGCTGTTGTTAAAAGATAGAAATTTCTTTAAAATTGTTTCAAAATGCTACTCAACCCACAGTTATGGTCTGATTTCAATATAACTTGGCACACAAGCAGACTACACTAAGATCCATATTTCTGTATATCTGTTTTAGATATCGATGAATGGTGTTGCCATGGTTACTAAAAATAGAAATGTCTGTAAAATTGTTTCAAAATGCTCCTCCTTCTACAGTTTAGTCTTATATACGATATAACTTGGCACACAAGTAGACTACACTAAGAACATAAAGAGATTTTATCAAGGATCATTATTCTATTTATTGCTGTTTTTAAGTTTCAATTCCCAACTGCTTAAGTACTTTTCTCTTCCTTTGCTATAAGTACAAACCAGTAGAGCTTCAGTCTCGACAGAGACTTCTGGTTTATTAGCAGAATAGCTCACTTGAGCCGAAGGCTCAAGTGAGCTTTCCTGATCACATTTTATACGGCGTCCATCTGTCTAGCTGTCTGTCCGACTGTAAACTTTTCACATTTTCAACTTCTGAAGAACCACTGGGTCAATATTTACAAAGCTTGATTCAAAGCATCCTTGAGTCACTCAAGATAGAAATCGGTGTTATAAGATAAATATCATGCATCTATATAAAGACATAATTATATAACCAAAATGTGTCTGAAATCTACCTTAAAAATATTAATAATATTTAAAATAGGAAGAATAAAAACATGACATTGTCCTTGCATATTAAACAAAAAATTAAAACAATGTAATCTAAAGTAATCATAAGTAATCATGATTACATGAATTACATGATTACATGAATTGTCTGTAATCAGCCTGTAATCGATTACTTTTAATATCCAAAGTAATTGTAATTTAATCGATTATTTTTGAAAGTAATCAACCCCATCCCTGCTTGAGTGATGGGGAATTCAAATTGTCAAAATGAATGTCAAGTCTCCTTACAAGGGAAGATAATCAAGAAAAGATGAAAATAGGGTCTTCCTCTTAAGAACCACTTGGCCAGAAAAGTTGAAACTTATGTGGAAGCATCCTGGGGTAGTGTAGATTCTAAATTATTAAATCCATGACCACTAGGGGTAAGATGGGGCCACAATAGGGAATCTTATTTTTATTTATGAATATATAGGAACCATCTTTAAAAATCTTCTTCTCAAGAACCATTGGGCAGAAAAACTGACACTTATGTAGAAGCACCCTTGGGTAGTGTAAATTCTAAATTGCTAAAACCATGACCCCAGGGGGTAGGGCGGAACCACAATAGGGAATCCAAGTTTTACATTGAAATATGTAGGGAAAATCTTTAGAAATCTTTTTCTCAAGAACCAATGGCGAAGAAAAAATAAAACTTAGTATCCTTGGGAAATACCCCTGGGGAAACTAAGGGCGGTGTCACAGTAGGGGATCCTGGTTTTACATAGAAATGCGTAGGAAAAATTCTCTAAAAATCAATCTCAAGGATCAACAGGCCATAAAAGCTGAAACTTGTGTTGAAGCATCATGGGGGTAGTGTTAATTCTAAATTGGCGAAATCATGAGACCCGGGGTAGGGCGGGTGATGCCACATTGACACAATAGGGAATCCACGTTTAACATAGGAATATATAGAAAAAAAAAATAGAAATTTTCTTTCCAAAAACCACTGAGCCAGTAAAGCTGAAATTTATGTGGAAGCATTCTGGGTAGTGTTGATTCTACATTTTTAAAATCCTGACCCCGGGGAGGGGGGATATGGCCTCAATATGTAATACAAGGGGGGGGGATTCTGGTTGAAAAAAGGCATCTCCAAAGTTACTCAGGTGACTCATGTCGCCCATGGACCTCTTGTTTCATGAGAAAAGACATTACTATTTTTCTGCTACAAAAGTAGTATTTTATTATCTATGTTTTTAAATTTTAAACAGAGGAATTAATTTTTTTTTGACAAATGTCACAACTGACCTCAAGTTGTGATGGGTTCTTAAAATTTGTATTAACAACCCAAAACAAATAATATTTTGGATGACCTTCTGTTCACCAAGAAATAACAAGATTCATAATATAAATTAACAATAAATTTATCTACATATGTACAATTAACATGAAAATGGCCAAAAGTTCAATCATGGTCATCACTGGACAGATTCACACTTCACACCACGTCACAATGTATGGTTCACCATGTTGTCCCTTCGGGTCCACCATATCCTAAAAGTAGCCTCACCACGTACACCAATCCTCTCGTCCAGAACAAAAGCTTAATATACAATTTTGGTCACCTACAATTTTCATAGGGTTTTGACTTTTCTAATAAAATATTCAAAACACACATCTGTTCAATATACTAGATTTTACAAACAAATTACAGAAGAATATATTTTTGCCGTTTAACAAGTAAATGAATTAGAGCATATTAAATATATACATACTCGCTATATTGCTAACAGTTTTCCAAAGAAAATTGCTCTTTAAGGCGATCAACAAAAATATTACAAAGGGAAAAAACTGACTGAGCTGTGGCATTTTATACATAACAAGCAAAATCAAGGAATTGTGGTCCCCCGCTTTCGATGTCTTCTTGGGTGATATGTCATTTTTTCTGACATATTTTGCGTAATATGAAAATCCTATCACATGTTATTTATTTAGAAATCATCACTGAAATCCGAGGTCAAGGTCAAAGGGTCAAAGTTTTTGGTATTTAATGAAAGGTCTTCTCACAAGGATTACGTATGTAAAGTATGAAAGCCCTAGCCCTTACCATTCAAAAGTTATGGCCAAGGTTAACGTTTTTTATAAGTACGAAAAATTTCCAAGGTCAAAAGGTCAAGGTTGTTGGTATCTAATGAAAGGTCTTCGCAAAAATATATATGTGAAATATGAAAGTCCTAGTATCTACCATTCAAAAGTTATGGCCAGAGTAAAAGTTTGGAATTTCTGTGTAAAAGGGGTCAAACTCCAAGGTCAAGGTCAATATGTCAAAATCGGTGGTACCCAAAGAAAGGTCTTGCAAAAAAAAATACATATGTGAAAATTGAAAGTCCTAGCATCGGCAGTTCAAAAGTTGTGACCAAGGTCAAAGTTCTTGAAAAAAGGTTTTACTCAAAGGTCAAGGTCAAAGGGTCAAAGTTCATGGTATCTAATGAAAGGTCTTCTTACAAGGATTACATATGTGAAGTATGAAAGCGCTAGCCCTTACCGTTCAAAAGTGATGGTCAAGGTTAAAGATTTTTATAAGTACGGAAATATCCATGGTCAAGGTCGATAGGTCAAAATTGTTGGTATCTAATGAAAATGTCTTGCCACAAAGAATATATATGTGAAATATGAAAGTTCTAGTTTCTACCATTCAAAAGATATGACCAAAGTAAAAGTTAGGGTTTTTTGTGTAAAAGGGGGTCAAACTCCAAGGTCAAGGTCAAAAGGTCAAACTTGGTGGTACCCAAAGAAAGGTCTTGTCACAAGGAATACACTTGTGAAATATGAGCTCAGCTAAATCAAAAGTTATGGGCAAGGTTAAAGTTTTTGTGACGGACTGACAGACGGACAGACTGACAGACTGACGGACAGACGAATGAAATTTAATGTCCCCTCGCTTTTGCGAAAGCGGGGGACAAAAATCATACTGTTGACCCCAAGGTCTTGCTCTCAACACTGCTACAAAACATCCCTGAATCCCAAGATCACACAGCAGGGGAAACAGAACACACCCAAGTTCACACAGCATGGGTTATATAAAATGCACACCCACGATCACTCAGCATGGGTAAAGTATAACTCCCGGCATCCAGACCTCATCTGACAAACACTAGCCAACACCCAGCAGTATAAATAACTGACCAAACTACTCAAACGGGCTCGACGAGTATACGTTGATAAAAATAGAACAAGTACAACTCAGTGACCAATAGTACGTAAATGAAATAAACGATAACTCCTAATGCCCAAATAAAGATAACTCTTTCCAACACCTGTACAATAAGCTAATATTAATTATTAAACATTGACACAATGTCACTTGTGACAAATTTCAATCCTTGTTCATAGCCCATGACGTAAATCATACGACAAAAGCCATAATATCAGATAATACTCTGAGACTGATTTAAAAAGATAAGATATGAAAATAACAGATCTAGAGTATTGATACATATTTTTTTCCTGGAACACCTGTAAAGTGCATTAAAAAAATTCAAATTCTGCTTCATGTGTGTGTTCTGATGTCCATTCTGAGAACATGACTGTTTTTGTTATAGATCCAAGCAGTGATGATATAAATAAAGTGAATGAGTTGAAGAAGTTTCTGAGAAAGGAGAAGACAACTGTTTCCCATGCTAGAGGAATACTTGTTGGATGTGCTGAGGCTGGAAAAACGACACTGCTGAAGAGATTAAGAGGGCAACATCACAATATCAGCGAAATTACAGAGTCCACGAGAGGACTTGAACTCCATCAACATCTCTTTATTGTTAGAGATGGAATTCTGGAAGGTAAAAATAAATTCTGATACATATTCATAGCATAAATGACAGACAGGTCACTTTTTCATCAGAAGAAGCAAACTTTAGTTTTTAAAGCCCACCTAAGCTGAAAGCTAAAGTGAGCTTTTCTGATCATCCATTGTCCGTCATCCGTCCATATGTAATCTTTTTTATTTGGAGGTGTGAGCATCCCCTGCTGACCGATCACATCTGCTGTGTGCTCCTTGTCATGATCAGGAAATGACAGAAAAATTCATCGTCAATTCAGTGTATAAATAATGGAGTAACAATTAGTATGAAAAACATCAGTCAGCATTTGTCTCCATGAAAAATTGTATTTGCTGACAAGGTCAAAGTAATGACCATAGAATTTATGAAATGATGACTTTAAACAGAGAGTTTGAATTGTAAAAATTAAGGGCCATGTCCTCATACAAGGGGAGATAATCAATGAAAGACAAAAATAGGCTTCATTCATTATAAAATCTTCCTAAGAACCACTGGGTAAGAAAAGCTGGAACTTACGTGGAAGCATCTTGGGGTAGTGTAAATTCTACATTTTTTAAATCATGACCTCCAGGGTGTAGGGTGGGGCCACAATAAGGAATCCAACTTTTGCATCGAAAAATCTTTACATGTATATAGGATATTCTTTTAAAATATTCTTCAGAGCCACCTGAAAAGAAAGGCTGGAACTTATTTGGAAGTATCCTGATTCCTCTGTTAGTGCAAATTCTAAATTGTTCAAATCATGACTCCGAGGGGTAGGTGGGGCAACAATAAGGAATCCAAGTTTTATATTGAAACAAATACTAGAAAAAATCTCCTTCTCAAGAACCACTGAGCCAAGAATGATGAAACTCATTAGGAATCATTCTTAAGTGGTGTACATTCAAGTTTGTCCAAATCATGACTCCTGAGGGTAGGCTGGGGCCAAAATGGCTGTTCAAAGTTTTACATAGGAGTATATAGAAAAAAATTTTAAGATATTTAAAAAAAAAACATCTCAAGATTTGCAAAGCTATGATTGGTGTTGATAATATTGATGCATCTTCAGATGGTGTAAATTCAAGATTGTTCAAATCATTAGGCCAAAGGCTAGGGTGGAACAAAGATGACGGATTAAAGTTTTACATAAAATAGAGGGAACAAATCTTCCTTACAAGAACAAAAATCTATGTTTAGTCATACTGACATGTAAGCATCTTCATGTAGTGATTATTTAAATTTGTTCAAATCTTTGTAACCCTTGTTTTTCCCAAATATTAACAACAAAGATTTAAAGCTTAGGTTCTTTGAAGGATTTTATTAGCTCTTCTGAGCCAAAGGCTCAAAGAGCTAACGCTATGGCCATTTGTGCAGTGTGCGTAAACTTTTTAGAATATGGGCCATAACTCAAGTACCCCTTGGCCAATCAGTACCAAATTTGCTACAGGGTATCCTTGGCCCAAAGGCTACCATTTATACTAAAATAAGGGTTAGGACCCATAAACAAGGGGAGATAATTAGGAAAACAAAATCAAAAGTACTGGTTGCTAAAAAATCTTCTTCTCCATAACTACTAGGCAGATTTTCACCAAACTTACAAACAAGGATCAGGATATGTCGAAAATTAAAATTTTCACGGGTAATTACCCTGGGACAAAGGGCATGGTCTCAAGGTCACTTCAAAGTTGACAAAAATTTACACGTAATAAAAACGTTGATATTTTGCTTACTATAAAGACTAGGATCATCAAATCTTTTAAGTTGATGCATCTCAGGACTTCACATCATGTTAAGACAAAAGTAGGTCACGGTGACCTACTTTTAAAATTTTACAGGCTTTTGTTTTCAAATTGATTTTGAGGCATATTTTGGACACTTTAATGCCTATGATCATCAAACTTCGTCAGTTGATGCATCTTGGGTCCTCAAACAATGTCAACTTAAAAGTAGATCACCGTGACCTACTTTTTGAATTTCATGACTTATCCTTTTAAAAACATTAAATTCCATTATTTCAGACACTGGGAGGTTTAGAATCATCAAATCTAGTACTTTGATGCATCTTGGGACCTTAAAACATATTTATGAAAAACAGGTCACTGTGACCTACTTTTTGAATTTTGCCGACATTTGTTTTTCAAATTGTTTAAATCGCATATTTTGATAACCTTCAGACCCACGATCATCAAACTTGGTCAGTAGATGCATCTTGGGTGTTTAAAAAATGTCGACAAAAATGTAGGTCACGATGACCTACTTTCGACATTTCATGGCTATATTTAAGAATCTTAGGTATTTATTGGCTTAGAATTATCAAACTTTGTGAGTGGATACATATTTGGTTTTCGGAGAGTGACGACGAAAAAGTAGGTCACGTTGACCTACTTTTGACATTTTATGGCTTTATTCAAGTATCTCAAGTACTTATTGGCTTAGAATCATCAAACTTTGTGAGTTGATGCATCTTGGGTTTTTGGAGAGTGACGACCAAACAGTAGGTCATACATGTAGTGACCTACTTTTGATATTTTGTGGCTATAATTATGTATCTCTGGTACTTATTGACCTTAAATCATCAAACTTTGTCAGTTGATGCTTCTTGGGTTTTCGGAGATTGTCGACCAAAAAGTAGGTCACAGTGACCTACTTTTGACATTTTATGGCTATATTTAAGTATCTCAGGCACTAATTGGCTAAGAATCATCAAACTTTGTTAGTTGAGGCATCTTCAGTTTTCGGAGAATGTCAACCAAAAAGTAAGTCACGGTGACCTACTTTTGAATGTCTCAGGTACTTATTAGCTTAGAATCATAAAATTGTGTCAGTTTAGGCATCTTGGGTTCTTGGATAACGTCGACCAAAAAGTAGGTCACCGTGACCTACTTTTGACATTTGATGGCTATTTTAATTATCTGGTACTAATTGGCTAAGTCGTCAAATTTTTCAGATGATGCATCTTGGGTTTTCATAGAATATTGACCAAAAGTAGGTCATGATGACTTACTTTTGAATATCTCAGGTACTTATTTAACTAGAATCATCAATCTTTGTCAATTAATGTATCTTGAGTCCTCAGAAAATTTCAGTCAAAAGGTAGGTCACTGTGACCTACTTATGGTATTTTATAATTGGCTAAATATTATCAAACTTGGTAAGTTGATGCATTTTGGGTCTTATGATACTAATAGAGTTGGAGGCTTCTAATAGAAGTGATAGATTGTACAATTTATCAGAAGAGCGATTCAAGGCCCTTGGGCTTCTTGTTTAGATATAAGCATTATATAACCCTGTAAGAAAAATGTTTAAAATCAGCACATGTTATATTGTAGGGTTAACCGTTATTGAACTTGTATTGGTGAATATTGGCACGAGTTCGTTGTACAAATGCACGAGCTTGCGAGTGCTTTTCTACAGCCATTGAGTGCAAATATTCACCAATATAAATTCAATAACTCCTTTATTATTAACTTAAACATTTCCTGAAATTTTATCATTATTATTCAACTTAAAAAACTCAACTTAATGATTTTTTAGCCTACCTGAGTCGAAGGCTGAAGTGAGCTTTTCTGATCAAAATTTGTCCGTTGCCTGTTGTTGTCGGCGTTGTCGTCGTTGTTGTCGTTAACTTTTCACGTTTTCATCTTCTCAAGAACCACTGGGCCAATTTCAACCAAACTTGCCACAAAGTATTCTTAGGTATAGGGGATTCAAGTTTGTTCAAATGAAGGGCCATGCCCTTTTCCAAGGGGAGATGATTATGAATTAGAGAAAAATTAATGGCATTTTTAAAAAATCTTGTTCTCAAGAACAACTGGGGCAGGAAAGATGAAACTCATGTGGAATCATCCTCAGGTTCTGTAGATTCAAATTTATTCAAATCATGACCCCTGGGGCAAGGGTGGGGCCAAAATGGCCAATCAAAGTTTTACATAGGAATAAACAGGAAAAATCTTTTAAAATCTTCTTCTTAAGAACCAGTGGGCCAGGAAAGATGAAACTCATGTGGAATCATTCTCAGGTAGTGTAGATTCAAGTTTGTTGAAATCATGACCCTGTGGCGTAGGGTGGGGCCAAAAAGGCTAATCAAAGTTTTAAATAGGAATATATAAGAAAAATCTTTAAAAATTTTCTTCTCAAGAACCACTGGGCCAGGAAAGATGAAACTCTTGTGGAATCATCCTTAGGTAGTGTAGATTCAATTTTGTGTGAATCATGACCCCCAGGGATAGGATGGGGTCAAACTGGCCGATCAAAGATTTCATACTAGTGAATTGGAAAATCTTTAAAAATCTTCTTCTCAAGAACCACTTGGCCAGGAAAGACGAAACTCATAAGGAATCATCCTCACGTACTGTAGATTCAAGTATGTTCAAATCATGACCCGAGGGGGTAGGGTGGGGCCAAAATGGCCGACTCAAGTTTTACATAGGAATATATAGGAACAATCTTTTATAAAAATCTTCTTCTCAAGAACTACTGGGCCAGGAAAGATGGAACTCATGTGGAATCATCCTTAGGTAGTGTAGAGTCAAGTTTGTGCAAATCATGACCACCGGGGCTAGGGTGGGTCCAAAATGGCTGACCCAAGTTTTACATAGGAATATATAGGAAAAATCTTTGAAAATCTTCTTCTCAAGAACCACTGGGCCAGGAAAGATGAAACTCATGTGGATGTTAGACCATGCTTTATTCAGCATCATGCACCAAAAGTGAACTTTATAAAATGAAGAGCTCCCTTATGGGGAGATAAGATATACATAAACTAGAGTTACTTCTCTTTGCATATAACACATAAGTAAACTAACATTAATTATACTTTTCTCTTTTTGGGTAAAGAAAATAAAATTAAAAAATATAGAATTAATTAAGTGTTTCAGATTGTAAGATAAAACAATAACATTGTCTTTCAAAACATTGTTTTAACCACAAAAGTCTGGCAGCATCCGTCCTGTCTGTAGAATCTCCAGAACACACAAACCACTTGCTTTTGTTAGGCAATTAGCGAGCTGTTTTTGTCCAGAACACCACTGAATTTTTTTCACGTCTCCTTGAATGACTTCTTCTGTCAATGCCGCGATATCAATTCGGAGTCTCTTATCTTCCACAAGTTTTGTTGAATGCACGGATTCAATCACACTCTTATTGTCTACAAATGCATAAATCGCGATGGATTTGCTGGGAACTCCCAAAATTTCCTCCAACATGTGTCGATAATAAAAACTTGCCTCCAGTCCTTCCTGTAGACTAAGTGCCTCCGCTGCAAGAGTGGAGCGGACAACTCTTCTGATCTTTTTAGCCTGCCAGAAAAGTGGACAGCATTTTCCATGTTTGTCCATAATCCAGATGATAACTCCCTGGGTACTTCCAGTTCCGTCATTAAGGTTTCCTAAAGATGCATCAGTAAATGTCAATATCTTTAGTGATGCAAGATCTAAAGCTGGGAATCTCAAGATACTTTTTAAGTCCTTCAGCCGGTTAATAATTTTTGTTGCTTTGATTAAATCTGTCACAGTTCCACTCTTTAGCTTAGTACTCATATCGATCATCTCAAATGCAAGGTCTGGTCTTGATCCC